ATTGGTTTTTTTCTTCCTCATTTCAATTTTCGATTTTTATTGCGACAGTTTGTTTAGATGGGTCAGCTGGAACGTTCATTGTTTTCCAACTGAGCTGCACTTAGCGCGGCTGTCGACATGATTTGCAAGAGACTCTACAAAGGGGAAGTTTTGTGCGAGAATATAAAATTTATATTTATATGAAATCAAAGTAAATCATACTTGTTGCAAAGTGAGCGAATTGATTGGAAACATAAATTGTGGACTAGTTTGTTGATTCTCGGAGGAATTGCTACTGTTACCATTACCATTTGCGAACAAGGAATTACCATCAGTCCCTAAAATTAAATCAATTTTTGCAAATTTAGTTCTTTATGTGACAATGGATAGTGATATTTATTTTCTGGCACTTCGGAATCTGTCAAGAAACTGGAATCTGCCTTCTATTTTATTAAATATTAATCATTAACCTTCTTCATTTGAATAAACCACGCCTTGAGGTATTTGATACATAATGGCGTTGCTAGTTCCCGCTGTTGAAGCCGAGTTCAAGCCTGCAAAATTATTTAGCAGGTTGAGATTACAAAATTTTAAATATTATCTTATAACTGATTTTGATTTTGATCATTATCATCATTTTCTCACATCACTGTAGGAGTAAATTGGAAAGTAACATCCACAAAAGAACTATAACATATTAACCGTTGACAGCATCATCTTAGCTGTACTGTCAATAATTGTATGAGAAAAGGTACAAGTTATAAGGTTCTGCTAATAGTAACCAAACAAAGATTACCAGGTAACAAAAACGGTGCGAGAAGCGGGAATGTTGCAGTAGCTTGAACATTGGTGTTGGTAGCAATGTTACCAATGGTACCATTATGAACATTACTACAATTGTTATTATTGTTATTATTATTATTAGCATTATTAGTGACGCTTCTAACATCATTAGTGTTGTTAAATTTTGCTTTGCTTCTTTGCAACTGTCGGTGAGCGGCTGCCACACGAAGCGCTTCTTTCAATGTTTGTTGTAATGATAACGAGGTCGCTTTTTCTATAAAATGCCTATCATTAGCGATGATGGTTGATAAAGTAATTAGTCAATCCTATGAAAGCTTAAAATTTTACAATAATATGAGACTGAAAAAGCTGATGCTCAAAAAAATTCTCCTTTGGTAAAATGCGCTCCTCCAAATAATCAATGATCTATTTTACTGATATAAATAGTTGTATTCAAATTATAATTTGAAATTTTCATTTGAGAAAAATCAAATGCAATACTTTTGCTTACTATTAGTTCTTTACTAATATTCTAAACTTTATATGTTAATTTAATTACATATAAAGTTTAGAATATTAGAACTAACACTTTTACTTAAACTAATATTTTTACTTAATTTTACCAAAGCAATAAGATTTCCCGCCCCACATTACAACTTCTGTTGTATGACAACAGATTGCATTTGTGATGGGTGATATGCATCGATCAGTCTATCCAATTTATCCATTCTCCTATTTAATCTGTCCATTCAATCCGTCTGTCGGTATTTACTGTCCACAAATTGACAGCAGCTGTCCAGATTTGGTCTATGTATGCTTATGTCTTAATGACCCCATCTAAACATTCCTTCTCTTCTCAATCTTCCTTTCACCAAATATATATATATATCACAAAATGAACGGAAGTGAGCCGAAAGATGTGTGTTACAACAATTGGCTATAACTACGCCCATAAATTTCAATTTTCTTCTCTTCCATCTATGCTGCAATTTATAAAACTTCTTCCTCGTCATCTTTTCTCTTTTCTTTTATTTGCAGGCTTACTTTCCGTATATATCGTGCGCAGTATTACAGCCATTAAAATCCCATTTATATCCGCCATTTAGCTAAATCCACGATGGAACAACTGTTACTGACCTCTCTGATGAACTTTTGAAGGGGAAGAGGAGGAGAAGGAAGATGAAATAGAATTGAATGACAGCTGCTACTTCATTTGATGAACCACCATAATGGGTCATCAACTTAGTAATGATTTCTGTTTGAACTCCTCATGCCATATTAGAAACAATCAATTATGGCTCTATATAAATGAGACGATAAACCCGAAAAGTTGAAATTTCTTGTCTTTAAAATCTTCCACAAATTAACACTCATTCAAGTTATTATGTTCATAATTCTATGATTATCCAGAATTTATCGAATGTTTAAGGAGACAGAAATTTTGAAATGTACAATGATAAGGGATTTGAAGTTGGAAGAATAATTCTAACAACGAGGTCATCAAGTTATATTTCAATTAAGTAATTAACTATTATTTTTATGATGAAACATTATGACCTTTTTCTTTGTCAGTTTCGCTTTCTTCGATTACAGCGTCGTGACTATCAACGCTTTCCGATTCACCACCATCGGAATTTTCCGCTTCTTCCGGATTGCAAGTTGGTGAGGCAGCTATCGTTGTGGGATGTACCATTGTTGGTAATTCAGGACACTACAAACAACAACCATTTTTCATCAAAATATGGAACTTGCATTAATTAAGTGGCAAATAATATACACCTTTTTAAAATAAACAAACTGAAATGGATTTGAACTAACTTTGCGCTAATTATGCATCTTACATAATTTTTTATTGAAGTCAACCTTTGACATTCAAATTTTTGCTCCAAAAAAAGTTATCAAGCTAAAAAATCAAGTTTTATTAAGAATTGCTATTTAAAATTTCGTATTGAGTTAACAAATTTTTCTGCATATTAATATGAATATTTTGATAAAATACAAATTTAAATGGTTTACATAAAGCGATTAGTTTAATTAGATTGTGTTAATCTGATAATTTATATCATTGCAATTAAAAGCTGGTCCCTTTTAGGATTTTGCAAATACAAATATAACAATGGATTAACATTAGTGGTGGCAGTAGCAGTAGTAGGATTGGTAATATTGATGACAGTAGCTGTTGAAGACGATGAAAAGGGAGTTAGTGAAATTTACCATCTTCAGTTGTATGAAATCACATAGAAAGAGAGTTACCATCATCACCACTGCCATTGCTAAGACCAGTTTTCAACAGGCTTTAAAGCTCCAAATTTGTATACAAAGTGAAAAGGCACTCTATGCTAACAAGTTAGTCGAAAGTTTCATTAATTATGTCAATTTCTGACAAGTTTCGATAAATTTAGACCATCCTTGCTAATATTGTTCTAAAATGTAAATTTAATGGCATTTGAAATAATCATCCTTTCTAATCTTATCATAAAACATACAATCTACTATCTACTGGCTTTAAAATTATATTTTTTTATTTGAGAATTATATTTGAAATTAAAAAAATAAAGAAATACGTTTTTATTTTACTACTGTAAATTTAGAAGTTACACAAGTAATTATGCAATTCTTATCACACAAATATTATTTTAATACTGTTTATTGAATATTGGTTATAAAAATTGAAATTTAAATTCTTCCTGAAATTATCAATCAATGGTATGACATAATTCTTGCATAATTGGATAAATTGATCGAAAATAATGCTTCTAAATTTGCACAAAAATTATTTCAAATTCCTTGGCACTTTTTGTTAAAATTTTAAGCAATAATTAAAAAGTTAATAATTGGAGAATTTAATATAAAAATTAATGATTTTAGTTGTCGTCTAGGAGTATAGTTATTATTATTGTGCTTAAAGATTGGGAATTTGTGAAAAAAAGAATTGTTCATTATGCTTGAAAATTGCGGAAACAAACTTCCGAAAAATTTGAATCCATCTGAAGACAAAATAGTTATGCAAATAAAAAGTGACGATGAGAGGATGGCTGATATATTTCTCAATCATCAAATGTTAGAGAGAAAACTACCAGTATTTAGTACCACTTTTTAGAACAGTGAAAAACTAATAGTGTTTACTAAACAATAAAGATGAGAACTTCAGAGATAAGTTTTTCTTCAAAAAAAATTTTTTGCTCGACTACTTTAAAAGAAAAGATGTTTTCTGTTAGTAGCAGTATTAAGCTGGCTCGATTCAATTATTTTAAAAAAGAAATAAGGAAGGAAAAACCAATCTTTAGATCTTTGCAAAATCCTGTAAATTTATCTTTCCCTCGCTATTTCAGGATGTATGGAATTTTAATATGAAAAAGAGAAATTATTAATGCTTAAGTTTTAGTTTATAGAAATGCATCAGATGACTCTGAACTACTCTCTGTTATAGATTTCTACCTGTAATTTGCTGGGATAGGATAGCATGAAATTATAATTGCAATAATGTCACAGTCCTGATTTTTGTTTTGAAAAGTTTGATCATAATATGATTTTGCTGAATTGTTTATTTATGAAATAAGGAATTTATTTATAACAATTTCCGGTTGTATCAATTCTTCCATCCCTAACCCCTTCATTTTTCAGCAAATTGGAATCTATCACGTGTTACATTCTACATTTTTTAAATATTCATCCAATTTTTCCATTCATCCGAGCCAACCATTGTAAACATCTCTTAAATCTATTAGTCAGTTTACCAATTCAATATCTGAAACTTTTTGATATTTCATTTTTCCCGATCCGATTCGTCATCATTTTCGTGTTGCAGTTGTTTCGCTGATGCTTTTTATAATAACGGCAATTTGATGTAACAAATATAGGAGACCAGTGATCTGATGTAAAGTTGTTCCGTCATATCACATTTATCACACACACACATACATACATACAACATACACACACACACATATATAATATACACATACACATACACATACACCTACATACACACATGCACATACACACATACACACATACACATAACATACACACATACACATACACACATACACATACA